GCCTCAGCCTCCTAAGTAGCTGGGACTACAGGTGCCCGCCACAATGCCTGGCTATGTTTTGTTGCAGTTTGGCCAGGGCTGGGTTCAAACTCGCCACCCTCTGTATATGGGGCCAGCGCCCTACTCACTGAGCCACAGGCGCTGCCCAAGATTTCTTTAATGTTTCCAAAGAGTTCACTGTCTAAAGATTGGTGCCATATCTGTCTGGCATTGTTGACGATCTCATCAAAAGTGATATTTCCATCGAGTTCAATGTTTTTCTGTTTTCTTGTTGGTTCCTTGAAGGCATTGGTGATCAGTGCAGAGGCAGAAGGTACCACTTCAATCTGGGCCTGTGTGTTGTAGATAGTCAGTTTCACTGTAATCCTCAGACCCTTCCAATCATCAGTTGCTTTGGTGATACCATCACCAACCATTTTTGGAGACAAACCCAGGGGCTGATCTTGGGGGCCAGGGCAGACATGGCATCAACTTTGCCACTGGCGCACCTCAGGTGCACAACTTTGATCTCGTTGGGGTCAAACTGAGGCAGCAAGAGAATCACTTAAGCCTAAGAGTTTGAGGTTGCTGTGAGCTGTGATGCCAAGGCACTCTACCAAGGGCAACATAGTGAGACTCTGCCTCAAAGAAAAAATAAAATAAAATAAAATATGCTTCTGGGCCAACAGGGCCTTTTGATGTGTAGAATGGTGAGAAGTCAAGAAGAAAAAGACCGGAATTGATGGGCTGTCCCTCTCTCATTGCTACTGCAGGGAGTGAACCCAGTGGCTGTTACGTGAGATGTAACACACTCCCACTTTCTTTAAGTATTTTCCGTTTCTATAGGATGCATGTTTTCCTGAGGTATCCTAATGCACTTGATCTCAGCTGAAAGGCCAGAAGTGATGGGGCGGGGAGTTATCCTAATGGCTGAACAACAACAGAAGGGGTCTTTGGAAAGATAAGAGTGTCAAACTCTGTTTATCATACCTCCTTTCAAGTTTTGGTTTTTTTTTCCCCTAAGAGCCATGCTGGGGTTAGGCTTTGTTTCGAGCTACTTCGCAGTTCAGATGTGGCTTAAAAAAATTATTAGTGGAACTCTAAATAATTCAGTAAGTGCTGTGACTATTTGTCCCTTGATTTGATTTTATTAGATGTTGGGAAGGTGTTTGTATTAACACTCTAATATCACTGAACTTGTAGTTTTTAATCTCTGGATTTATGTTAAGCTTCCTTTGGTTGAATCATTAATTTCTAGTTGTTTTTACCCAAGAAGCATTAAAATCATGACAAAAATAAATGGATTATGGATTAGAAATTTCTTAAATTGAACCTGACTGAATCTAACCCTAATAAATAAACACGTATGCACAGAACTCAGAGAACCCAAGTAACTTTTAAATATACAACTCTGTGTATGCTAGGATAGCAAAGTGGGGAATGGGAGACCCAGAGACTCTATTAATGGTCCATAAGGCCAAATTTATTATCATAATAATACTAAGACATTATTTGCCTTTTGGGGAGAGAGGACAGAGTCTCACTTGTCACCCTCGGTAGAGTAATATGGCGTCACAGCTCACAGCAACCTCTAGCTTTTTGGCGATTCTCTTGCCTCAGCCTCCCAAGTAGCTGGGACTACAGGTGCTTACCACAATGCCTGGCTATTTTTTGTTGCTGGGTCAGGTTTGAACCTGTCACCCTCAGTATATGGGGCCAGCACCCTACTCACTGAGTCACAGGCACCACCCTTTGCCTTTTTGCTCTGTTGATATTTGCACTGATGGTATGAAAGCAAAGGGGTTAGAAAGTGCTGAGTTTTAGCGTGAATCAAGGTGGTGGCAAGAAACTGTACTAACAGTCATTGTATTAGTCACCTTCATGTATTCACTTTAAAAAGAAAGTATCAGTTTCACTTACGAATGTCCTGTTGAAGCAGCAACTATTATTTTACTAAATGTCTACCCATGAGGACAACTGTGTTTGACGTGTGTATACTAACATGTGCATATTGCATGATGAAATGGGAAGTACGTGAAAGCACGTTTACATCCCCAAGTACTATGATTATCTGGTTATCTCAAGGAAAAGAGCTAATAGAAAGTGAGGCTGTGTTCCAAGGATGGAAAGAACTGTAAAGAAATCTTGAACTGTATTGTTTGTTGTGGGTAGTATATTGGTGTAAACTTGACACCATTTTTTGTGTGTTGTACATAGAGAACATGGATAATAATCAAAATATTGGGAATCAGGCATTTCTCTTGTGGGGGAAGTATTTAAAATAGCTTTGCTCTAGTCAAAGAGCCTAGAACTGATGGTGTTACTATTTCATTATCAGAGAGCACACTGAGTTTTCAGGTCTTGGTTCCTAATTGCCATTTCCCAGTGAAAGGTCACAGGGCTCCGTGGAGAAACGGCTCGTTTGAGACTGGAGCAGGAACACAAGGTTAGCTTGGCATGCTTGTGCCAGAAATCCAGGGAGATTCTCAGAGATGCTTAGGGTCATGTCAGAAGGACCCTCAAGCTGGCTTGATGAAGCTCCCAGTGGCCAACTTTGGGACATTAGAAAGAATGATGGCAGTATGGATTATGGCACATGAATATTAAAACAATCCATGAATCTACATATGTGATAGGAGAGAAGGGGGAAGAGCGAGAGAACTCCATTATAGAAGAACGCCAGCTACTGTCTGATTATCGGAGAATCTGATAATCAATCCTGGTTTGGCAGCCCCTTAACATAATTGATTCAAGTGAGAATCATTAATGGATGCTGAAACTATTGAATGAAATGTTATCTGGGAGAAGAATATTCACCGAATCTCAAATGACACCCTATATATTCCTTGTTAATGATAAAGGGGAAAGGATGTTTTGGCAAAGAAGGCGGCAGCACCTGAATTTGCCGATCAGACAACAACAATATCAAAAAAGAAAGCTAGACACTCATGCTTTCCAAAGGAAGAAACCAGCACTTCCTATGAAGTGGTCTTATCAAAGGGAAGCAAGCGTGAATCAGACTGAACCTTTCGAATCCGCTACCAAATTATAGGGCACCCAAAGGATTCTGTTAATCACCACCATGGAGCTACAATAAAAGATAATTTTCATAGCCAAAATTGTATAGCCAAATGCCTCACTTTCTTTAAAATGAAAAGTTGCAAGAAAAAAATCAAATGTGTAAAGGAGTGAGGGGAAGGGACTTCGGAAAGGTGCTGATCAGTTTGTGGACCTGACTTAGATCGTGATACAAGTAAAACTCTGTATTGAGAAGTACATGTCACCTGTGTGGAATTGTTACCAAAATACTTAACCTGAATTTAATCATGAGGAAACAATCAGATAAGCTTAAAATGAATGATAGTTTACCAGGCAGTTGTCTTAGACGATCTAAAAAAAGTTAGTGTTCTGGATGGTGTGGTGGCTCAAAGGAGTAGGTGCCAGCCCCATATACCAGAGGTGGCAGGTTCAAACCCAGCCCCGGACAAAAAAAAAAAAGTGTTCTTGAAGAACAACAAAAAACAATGTCATGAAAAACATACAAATGAGTGAACCTTGTTTGAATAGAGCCCCTGTTCTCCCAAAGTCAAAAAAGACATTTTGGGGACAATTGCAGATGTTAAAATAAGGACTGTGGGGAAATAGTATTATTGAATAAATTATTTTAGGTATGAATATGTTTTTTGTTTTTTTGGGTGACAAGCGTCTTTGCTACCCTTGGTAGAGTGCTCTGGCATCATAGCTCACAGAAACCTCAAACCCATGGGCTCAAGTGACCCTCGCCTCAGCCTCCCCAGTAGCTAGGACTATAAGTGCCCCTTCACAACACCCAGGTAATTTTCCTGTTTTTGGTAGAGACAGGGTCTCGCTCTTGCTCAGGCTGGTGTCGCCCTCCTGAGCTCAGGCGATCCTCCTGCCTCAGCCTCCCTAGACTGCTAGGATTACCAGTGTGATCCACTGGGCCCTGCCTGATTATGGTTTTGAGGCTCTGTAGGAGAATGTCCTTATCTTAGGGAGACAGATGCTGAATTATTTTAGGGTAAATTAGTATGTCTACATATGACTTGAAGTAACATGTGGGTGTGTATGGATTATATTAGCTCATACGAAGTGCTGTTTTCCTAGGTCTCAGTCACATATGAGCAGATGCCTGTCATTCAGCCTAATACAGTAGAATGTCCATAGTTGACCACCCTCTTAAAGACTGGATGTGTACATGTACCCAGTTGACCATCTCTGTACCTTGACCAGTTTGTTACAGTCCCTTGGGTGGTCAACTGTCAGAGATTAACTGCATTTTTTGAAAGAGAAAAGGCCAATGTGGTAGCAAATGGTGCATCCAGGTGAAGAATCTACTGGTATTTATACTATTCTTTCACCTTTTGTGTGCCTTAACTTTTTTTAAATAGTTGGGAGAAAGTAGTTAGCATACAAAACTAAACGCCCCAGGGACAATTTACTTGTAGATTAAGTGTGCTGACAACCTTCCCCCTGAGGTTCATTGCCCCCAATAGCATTTAAATGCTCCTGGAATTAATTCCACAGCTACTTAAAATTGATTTAGAGTATAGAAAAGAGTATAGAAAGAAGATTGTCTGAACTTTCCTATAGCTGCATCATTGTATGACAAAGAACAGAAAGATAAAGGACTCTATTTTGTGGAACTTTTTTTTTTTTTTTTTTTTTTTAATGTCGGTGACATTGAAAGAGAATCCACTGCAGGAGAAAAGGGAGATCGTTGGCTTCTCAGAAACTGATCTGTATGTTCTTTTTTTTGTTAAGAGATCACGAATGACTTGTATCTAAGCATGGCCTTGACATTCTCTATAAGACAGGTGAATATCTGTAGTTTTTCAAAGTTTATCCCCTCTGCCTCTCCTTTTTCCCCCTGAGATCTTAGGTCTTTTGTGAAACCATGGCAGATTGATAAAGTTAGGAGATTTCTACTCCCCCTCTAGAAAATTTCCCTAAATGGTTGCGACAGACCCTGGTTTTATCTTCCCTTTTTTGCATCCAAACAGATCCCTAAAGAAGTGGCTGACATCTTTAACGCCCCCAGTGATGATGAAGAGTTTGTGGGCTTCCGAGATGATGTTCCCATGGAAACTCTCTCCTCTGAGGAAAGCTGTGATAGTTTTGATTCGCTGGAGTCAGGGAAACAGGTACGATGCTTCCTTTTGAGGGAGGTGTGTTCTTCTGGATCCTGAATCTGGGTTTGGATGTTTTTTCATTTGAACATGGTTCTGAGATGGGTGGTATCGTTAATTGTTGAGAATTTTTATTTTAGAAGCCTTGTGCCTTCATGTTTCAAAAAACTAGCGGGAGAACCTAGTACAGTATGTTAAAAAAAAAAAAAAAAGCATTCACATGAGCAAATCCATTTTCTTTGCTTCCTTGGGGCTGTACCCAGTGGAGAAGTTGTTTTCAGAGTTCTCCCAGGGAGCTGGCAGGGCAGGAGAGGGCTGGCCCCCACTCCACGAGGGCCCAGCCAAGCGGGCAGGTCGGGCAGGTCGTTGGGTTCTAATGTGACAATTGCACTCCTGCAGTGTGATTCTGTTGCCACCTCACTCTTGGAATTGCTGGGGAGAGCAGCATTCTTGCTTTAATTACTTTGATCTCTAGCAAACACAAGTTCCAGTTTTCTGAGAAGTAGATTTCCTGGAGGTTTATATTGTGCCCTGGCAGTAGAATGGCCACTGAAAACATCTCGCTTCAGTGGCATTTTCTTCTGAGTTCATTGTGACATTTGAAATTGCTTAGTCTTCCTCCACCATGGCCTCTCCTAAAAGGCTGTAAATTAAACCCACGTGGCCCCAACTGGGTACATACACGAAGGGAAGCAGTTAATCACATGTAAGAAAGTCCTGCTGGGTTGTTCTGGCCTGGGTGGGAGCTGTGGGAGCTGTGCTCTCCAAGGTGGCCAGTGGGGCCGGGTCCTCATCATCTGACATCTCTCCCTGCTGGACGCCTCCTTTTACTCCGGGGGCCTTCCCATCTAGCACTCTTTTTGCTTTTGGTTGTTGTCTCTTTCTTGTCCCTAAATGAGGATGTTCTCTAAGGTTTTGTCTTCAGATCTTTCCACTCGTCCTGAGCTTGTCGATTGTCTTGGTCTGGGATGTTCTGTGTCCTTGATGTGGAGCCTGGCTTCTGTCTGCAACCTCAGATGGCTGTCTGACGGCCAGCTGGACTGGACCTCACTGCTAGAGGGAGGTCTGAGACACCTTGACTGCCTGTCTAGCTCTCCCCCATCTTTACTCCACCTTTTCTCTTCTTGATGCTACCACCTCCTCTCCCCTACCCCTCTCCTGTCCACCCACCTGCCGTGCAGGAGTCCATGAAACCTCCACTAGGTTGCTCCTGGGCATCCTTCCCTTCCCTCTCGTCCTGGTAGCTCTTACCTGAATGTTTCCCCCTTCCTGCGGGGATCCACTATAGGAATGAACTCCATCCCACCTTCTCCCTTATTCAGAAATTTCCCCCCTCTGCATCTGAGTAGTCAGGCAGTGGGGGTGGGCGGGACATGTTGGGTCCACCTTGGGGGCATTCTGAGCAGTGCAGGACTCAGAGTCTGCAGGCTCTGGCCAGAAGAAACAGTGCAACTGTGTTTGCTGTTATGATGGCCACTGTGCAGTCAGGGCTGTCCTTCCTGGCCCTGGTGTCTGACCCCAGCATGCCTCAGATGGCTCTGGATAGTGTGCCAGCTGCTCCTCCCTTATCAGCCGTTACTCTGTCCTGTCTGCTGGTCTGTGCTACTCTTCCCGCCTGGGTGTGCTCTCACCATTTTTCTAGCCTTGCTAGTTTCTTCCGTGAAGTCTTCCTGGGTCTCTGAGCATCGTATTGCTTGTGTATCCTTTATAACCCTGACCCTCACCTTGGTTATTTGTGGATGTCTCTGGCTCCTCTCCAGAGCTTATAAACGCCCTGAAGGAGGGGCCCACATACTTGAATGTGCTGTTGAACTTCCCTGGCTCTGGCTCCTTTATCTTTGTGTTTTGTTCTCTTTCCTCTGGTTTTAAGCATCCAGCACCCCCACTTGACTGTACAGAATGAGTGCCAGTGGATGCTTGCTGGGTGCAGTGGAAGCGGGGTGTTCTTTTGGCTCTCTGGGTCAACAGGCTCTTTCTGCCTAATCTGTTTCTTTGTGTCATGTGGGCTTCAAAATAAACAGCTGAACTTCCTGGGTTAGCTCCTTTGCCTGTAGTCTTGATGGTGGCAGGTGTAGGTGACTGAGGCCTACAGCATAGTGTCCACTATTGATTTTGAAGGATAATTAACATTTTCCAGAGAGCAAAAGAGCTGTGCAGAAGTGCAGTGAAGCAGTGTGCAGTAGGCTTGCGCTTCATATAGATGCACCTAAAAAAACTTTTATACCCTTTGGAATTGGGAAAATAAAAGCATGGATCTCATTAGGACTGTGGCTAAGTTGCTTTTCCCCATCAGGACTAGCCACCAAAGATACTGATTTCTCTCAGGTGCCCACTGTCCTGGGGCCAGCACTTGGGATAGAAAGAGCCAAAAGGTTGGGAAGATTGGAACTCACAGCCTTAGGCAGAGGCTTTGGTTATTTGATGAAATCTACACACAGATCCCTATTGCCATAAGACAGCCTGGAGGGCTGGCCTAATGCTTGGTGATCTAGATGCTTCTTGTACCCCAGGGGCTGCAGGTGCATGGGGAGAGGGAAGGATTCCTCCTTGATAATCACGCCCTGCTCCCTGATTCCCACCCCGACCCCTGCACACTCACAGTCGTTTTAACCAGCCGGGAGAAGCTGCGTGAACTTGCACACAGCACGTGTGTGCTGACTGTTCTTCCTTAAACACAATTTAAATTTCACTTTAAAGAAACTTCTTTTTTTGTGCATATTTTTTTTCAAGCAGCTGCACTACAGCTCTCAACAAAGGAACAAAGTAATTTAGCTCTGAGCAAACTCACTCCAATTACCCATAATAATTCATAGGAGACATTTTTAAGCTTACAAAATGCTAGATGTAGGCATTTCTTTTTCTGTACCCCTGTAAGTTTTTCCACTTGTCTATTATATCTGTTTTCTCCGGAGATATGTGAGCTTGAAGAAGTATATAATTAAAGTCAGGAAAAGGCAAGAGGAAGATAAAGATTCTCAAATGTGGTATTACTGAGGGGGGTCACTGCTTTATCGGGGATGGGAAGGACAGACATTGAAGGAAACTGGGCTGATGGGAGCCCTGCTGAGTGTGGTGGGCTTGCAGGGGGCAGGTCTTGTGGGGCTTCCTTTGGTCTGCAGTTCTTTCTTTCTTTCAAGCGCACTTCTTTTCTTCTTCTCTTTCCTTTCTTTTTTTTTTTTTGAGACAGAGTCTCTCTCTGTCACCCTCAGTAGAGTGCTGTGGTGTCACAGCTCACAGCAACCTCCAAATCTTGGGCTTAAGCCATTCTCTTGCCTCAGCTTCCCAAGTAGCTGGAACTACAGGCACCTGCCACAACGCTCAGCTATTTTTTGTTGCAGTTGTCATTATTGTTTAGCCGGCCCGGGCTGGGCTTGAACCCACCACTCTGGGTGTATGTGGCTGGCGCCGTAACCACTGTGCTATGGGCACTGAGCCATTTCAAGCACACTTTTAAGAGAGTCTGGGGCTCCTTCTTTGCAATTTCTCAAAAGAAGGAAAAAATCACCCCCCCCAAAAAAAAGGAAAGAAAAAGTTACTATTGGAAATGCTTTTGAGTTGGCCACATCACGTCTTTCTTTCTGCTCACTGGCCACCCACCCAGCATGCTCCTCACCTCCCGTGGGAGAGGAACAGGTGAGCTTCCCAGCAATCCACTCGCCCCCGCAGTAGCCAGGCACCTGGAGCAAGTCCAGGCTCTCTGGCAGTGGGCCGTGAGCGTCCCCAGCCCTCTGCTACAGAAGAACTGGCGGTTTGTGACAGGGAGGCATGCTCCCCCACTTGGACGGCTGTGAGAAAGGAAAGCCAGCGTGTGGGAGGGAGCCAGGTTTTCTCCTGGTGTCTTTTTTCCATGTGTTTTCAGTTCTGTGTGAAAGCAGACGGTCCCGGCTGCCAGCGTTGGCAGGGGAGGCTGACTTCCACGAGCACTTACCCGTCACGCCAGCAGCTCATTGAGACTACAGCCATTCTGATTTTTTCAACTTGTCTGATTTGTAGGTCTGAATTTCCATAAGCTTTAAGAAGTGTGTGTGTTTATTGTGGTAAAAATACCTAAGATTTATTTTTTAGACCATTTTTTCAGTATCTAATTCAGTGGCCTTCGGCCTGTTCACCGTACCCAACAGAAACTCTGTACCGTTCGGCCATTCCCCAATCTCTCTGCCCCTTACAACCTCTGTTCTCCTGTCTCTGTGATGATAATGTGTGTGTTTTTAATTTAGCAGGATGTGCGTTTCCGTTCTAAATACTTCACAGAAGAGCTACGAAGAATTTTTATCGAGGACACTGACTCAGAGGCTGAAGACTTCGAAGGATTTACGCAGAGCGATCTGAACACAAAGAGTAGCCCAGAAGTAAGGGGGATAATTACAATGGGAAGCAATATGGGTTGTACGGTTTTTAATTTTGTTTCTGAGTTGTTTACTTGTAAGAGGTCACTTCACAAAGAAAATGATTTGATAATACTTTTTCTTATTATTTATGTTACAAGCTAATTAACATAACCTAAAAAGAATTGCTACTCCAGGCTAATTCCTGGTCCATCAGTCCATTATTCTCTAAGAGGAAATCTAGTTACTTTCCCCTCATGTATGGGGTCGGGGGGTGGGATGTATTTATTTAGACTTTCTTGAAACTCTTTCATCTTTCCAGTTTATCTTGGAGTAACAAGTTCCTTAAGGTCCTTCTTGTTTGTGAGGTAATAGTCTGGGGTTTGGAGTTAATTTGGCAGGAATTTAGCTGTGATGCAAACTGTTGTTTCCCTGTGCTATCTGGATTTGTTTGCTGTCATCCTTAAAGTTAGGGATGACCTAGGCCTGCCCGAGCCCCTCAGAGAAATCTGCTCTGGGTACTTCCATCAAGAGACTTGCTGGTTGATCTCTTTTATTCTATATGGTTAGGCTAATTAACTGCCCACTAGTGTCTGACACTTAAAGTAACTTGAAAGCATAGCCTTCGGATTTGGGAGAGGGGGTGGTGGGAGACAGAGACTCATCTGTCGTTGGGGCATCAACCTGGGATCACATGATCCTCCTGCCTCAGCCTCCTCGTGATTGCTAAGACTATAGATGTGCACCATAGCACGTGACTAATTTTTCTATTTTTGCTCTGGCTCAAACTGGTCTAGGACTCCTGAACTCAAGTGATCCTCCCACCTTGGCCTCCCTGAGTGCTAGGAGTTGAGGGGTGAGCCACTGTGCCCAGCCCAGCCTTTGAATTTTTTTTAAGTGCAAAAATGTTTTCTGTTAACTGAAAAAAAATAGCATGCATTTATCTGAAACATAAATATTCCATTTCCTTCTTGGGTATGAAGAGGAAAGCTAAACATTTAAGCCTCTTCACAGTTAGGAAGAGACTCGGTACAGTAGCTGTACAAAGCTGCGACTATCAGGCTTGCTTTGTCTCTTACCTTTCCTGGGGGAGAACTTAGGGCATAAAAGCCCCCTTACGGTAGGCTGCCTCATTGGAGGTCAATTTTTCTCCTGAGCAGCAGTGACCTACAGGCCCGAGCTTTCCTTTGTCTTTCTTTGTAGAAGCTGTTGGGGTGGCAGTTGATGGGTTCTGGTCAGTAAGTCCCTGGTTTTATGCCTGCAAGACACTAAGTTCCTTCCAAATGCTAACAGATATCACTGCTTAGTGACTTATCTGTCCTCTTTTCTTTAGCTAAGTGAGAGCTAGTTATTCAAAGAATTTGTGTTTCTAGTGAGAGGAACTGAATAACCCCAGAAGTCCTTCCCCCTCCTCGGAGTCTCTGCACTTGGGGGATGAATTGTGACACATTGCACAGACCATGCTAGAACTCACAGCTCAGCACGGGGCTGCCTGCAAATTATAGCTCAGGATTCAGAGAGAAGAAAAGTGTCGTTGCTTCCCAGTTTGGCTCCTGCCCACTCTTGTAAGAGCTGGTGAGACTTATTTTTTGTGGAAGGGATATTACCTTACCCTTGGTTTCTGGGGGTCTGTTGGCCAGATGCAAAACAGCCACAGCCAGGAAGCTAAGTCCCTCAGATGGGATTCTGGTCTTTGGTTCACGGCGTGCTCTTTCCTTACTGCAGCCCTTTGTCGGGAGCTGCTCAGCATCCTTGGTAAACAGAGGCAGGAGGAGTGTGATGACTAAGTAGAGCAGATCTGAAGTTCTTCCCTGATAGTGTCCTGTGAAATTCCATTTCTTTGCAGCCTACCTGAATCCTGAAGCTGCTAATGTGGAAAGTCCAGGGTATTCTTACAAAAATGAATCAGTGCAAGTATAGTCTTATTTCTCACTTGGCCTGGTGTGGATTGCCAGGATCGACAGTTAATCTGCACTTTTTCTCCCTGTGTCTTAGTTCCAATTTGAGCCTAATGTGAATCTGACTAGAATTGGGAGAGGGGTCATCGAGGAAGCAGTCATGGAACTGAGTCCTGGGGTCCATCTTGCTTCCACTTGCTGTTCTCTGCACCGTAGCTGCATTTACAGAATTCCCTGACAGTGGTTCCCAGCTTGTGGTCAAGGAATAATGCCTAGAAGATGTCCTTGATCTCGACTATTTAAACCTACCTCTATCATTGCTGAGAGTCCTGTCACAACTGAGATATCATGCCACTGTCACTGGGTGATGGCCCCTGTCACTGCCTCCCACATTTATCATATTTTCTTCGCATGTTCTCACTTGTGACACCAAGAGGTGCGATAATGCTAGAGACCCACTCCACATGCAGTTCACAAACGGAAGATGAACATTTCTGTAGCTGGCTGACTGGGTGCTCTGCAGCGACCTGCAGAGAATCCTGACTTGATTTCACCCTGTGAAAGGTGAAGGTCACAGCAAAGGGAGAAGGCTTCCTTGACCGAGGGCTGTCTGCCCCTTGGTCACTGAGGTGCAGTCGGCTCTCCTGCCGTCTCGTGTTGTTTAGAGGAGACTAGTCAGTGTTTTCCCCCTGACCACTGCATTTTTGTTCCACGATAACTCTTGGGGCAGGCACTCTCTTTTCTTTGTCTGTTGATCCTACCGTTCCAGTGTGGAGGAGCTCACTTGGTGGTGTTTTGCTTACAGTCTGCTGCTCTGAATGGAAGACAGGGGGGCAGTCAGCCAGCTCATCAGCTGACTTGGCACGTTTAATTGAAAAGTTCAGAGGGAAGGGTTTTCCTTTATTACTCATGGTTTTCCTGATACAATGTCAGGATTCTTTGAAATGCATATGTTTTTTGTAGGTCTGTTGTAGACAGTCTTTCATTTTTTTTAATTTTTATTTTGGACTTACTTTGTTAGCTCGTGGAGTCGGACTTGAGTGACAATGGCAAAGCATCTTTGGTGAGTGAGGATGAGGAAGATGATGAAGAAGAAGAGCCTACACTGAGGAGGAGAAGCTCCAGAAGAAGCAGCATTGGGCTCCGGGTAGCCTTTCAGTTCCCTACCAAGAAGTTGGCCAACCAACCAGATAAAAACAGTTCTTCAGAGCAGTTGTTTTCGAGCTCGCACTTACAGAATGATAATAAACCAATTTCTGGAAGAAACAAAGGTCTTAGGCAGGGGATGGAAAGAGAAGATTCTGCCTCTGAGTCTGAGGACGACTCCAGGGATGGGAGCCAGGAGGGTTCAGACGCCCTGCTGAGGAGGACCATGAACATCAAGGAGAACAAAGCTGTGGTAAGGCCCCTGGGGCACGGGGGGCCCTGGGCCCTGACAGCAGGTGCTGAGGCCGCAGAGGCCCCGAACCCGCTGCTGCTGTAGCTGTTGCCGCTTTGGCTTCTCTCAGGAAAATGTACTCTGGCTGGTACATTGTGTGTCCTTTTTCTTTTCCAGAATCCAAAGCAGTTATTACATGATCAGCTCTGGTTTGGGAACAGAAAGAGACTCCCCGGGACCATTTTTAGCCCCCTACATGGTGCCATGAGTAATGCTGCTTACTGTTTTCCAAGTTAAGTTCTGAACAGAATTTTGTTGGGGATGACAGGGGCTGCACAGCTGGCCCGTTCCCCCGCACAGAAGCCGAGAGGAAGTGGAAGGCGGCCGGGTCCACTGGAGAGCTGCAGGGTGTAGGTCAGGCAGTGGCTTTTCATGCAGAGTGGACGGGGCTCTCCTGAGGTGGCCAGCTTTGGTTTTTGAATATCTGAAGGAATGGAAGAAGTCCAGGAATTAAAACAATCTCAACGGTTTTAATTCATTTTAAAAGGTCTTCATTAGAACAATTAATGAAATAAGGTGAAATCTTTGTTATGTATATTTGTTTTCTCTGTGGTCAGTAGCTGTGAATCCGATCATTCTGGAGAATCCTTTGCTTTATAATTGTTTATATACAGAATTTTTCATAATTCTGCTTCTCTTGGTGACCTTTAGCATTTTAATATTTTCCTTTGTAAAAAGCATATTGTAGTAGTATGTCTTATATGTCTAATAAGTTACTTAAGAAAATAGCCTACTTTGGGGTTATTTTTATCCTAAGGCACATCTTGCTTAGTGAAGAGAAATTTTCAGCACTGTATCCATCTGCATCTTTAAAATAAGAACTATGGGCTCGGCGCCTGTGGCTCAAGCGGCTAAGGTGCCAGCCACATACACCTAAGGTGGTGGGTTCGAATCCAGCCCAGACCCGCCAAACAACAATAATGGCTACAAC